GATTTTATTTATTTATTTGACAGAGAGATAGAGAGCACAAGTAGGCAGAGTGGCAGGCAGAGGGAGAGGAAGCAGGCTCTCCGCTGAGTAGGGAGCCGAACGTGGAGCTCGATCCCAGGACCCCAGGATCATGACCTGAGCCGAAGGCAACCGCTTAACCAACTGACCCACCCAGGCGCCCCGAAACATCTGATTCTTGATCTCAGCTCAGGTCTTGATCTCAGGGTTATGAGTTCAAGCCCCATGTTGGGCTCCACACCAGGCATGGAGCCTACTTTAAAAAAAAAAAAATGATAATACTTTGGATGTATTAGATTAAATAGAATGTATTATTAAAATTAATTTTACCTGTTTCTTTTTTTCATGTGGCTGCTAGAGATTTTAAAAATTATATATGTAGGTCTCATTATATTTCCATTGGGCATTGTTTTAGATCCATTTAGGGAGAAGTGACCATCTTTACAATATTGAGTCTCTAAGAACATTGTATTTCCTTCATTTACTTGGATCTTACTAAATTTCTCCCAATAATGTCATAAATCATAGTTTTTAGTGTCTTGCATATCTTTAATTAAACTTATTTCTAGATAACTAACGTTTTTTGAAACTAATGGAATCCTTTTTGAAATGTCATTTTGTTATTAATGCAGAGAAATTAAGTAGATTTTTGTGTATTGACCTTTGTATTCAGCAGTGTTGCTGAATTTCCTTATTGGGTCTAGTATTTGTTAGTGCAGTCTTGAATTTTCTATACACACAATCAGATCCTCTGTGAATAATGACCATTTGACCTTCTCCTTTTCAATTCTTATGTCTCTTCTTTTTCTTACCTTGTGCTAGCTAAGATCCTCCAGTATAATGTTGAATAAAAGGGATGACAGCAGGTATTCTTGACTTATTTCTAGTCTTTGAGCAAATAGAGCTTTTAATAATTTACCATTATGATGTTTGCTGTAGGTTTTATGTTAGATGATCTTCATCAAATTAATAATCCCCTTCTATTTTTAGTTTTAGACTTTTTATAATTGAGACATCAAGGATTTATTTAACTCAATAATGAGGAAAATAGCAGGATGGTAAAGTTGATTCAAAGAAGAAGAGAGACAGGCTAATATAGTAGTGTGAAAGGCAGAGGAAAAACCACTAATATAAAGTTGCTAGAATAAACTGGTTAAATGTACTGCAGGGTATAAACCATGATCTTGGGGATTACTCTGTGTTTCTACAGGACAGTGCTGATTGTTATCACAAATGAATGTTGTCTTATCTTTTTAATGTCTACATGGTCTATAGTGGTGTTCAGTTTTCCACTTATGATATTGGTAATAACTTTTTTCCTTGGCCAGTCTTGCTAGGAATTTATCAGTTTTGTCTTTTCAAAAAGCCAGCTTTTGCTTTATTGATCTTACTTATTTTGGTGTGTTGATTGTATGTACTGCCTCAACCATAGTGTGTATAAGTTTTTTAAAAATCCATTAGGTTTTCTCAGCAAGGTTGCAGTTGATATTACGTAAGGAAAATGTCTCACATCCTTTATGGATAGAGTTATGATTCTAAACAACATTGCTGTCCAACATTATGAATAATAAACAGTGAAAAGTGAGGTGCATCACATTGCATATAATAAAACAGTAATTTTTGGGGGCCTATGAAAGTGGTCTACTAAATAAAAGTTGTTCACAGTTATCTAGCTTTTCTATCTAAACACTTTAGATGAATTTTCCACAATGTAGGTTAATTAGTAAAGTCATAACATCTTCTATTAATGTAATTTTACTTGTAAGTATAAACATTACTTTTCAAACATTGATGAGCAAACCTCCTCCTAGAGCCTTGTTATGCCATACTAATATTTTTAGTGATATGACACTGCAAAGATGTAAGCTAATTTTGGAATCAAACATAATTATTTTTGAAGTTCAGCTGTGTCATTCTGTGTGATGTTTTATAAGTTATTTAGCCTCCCTAAACTCTGAAGCTCAGGTTTCTCCATTTGTAAATCCAGCATAATAAAGCCTACTTCACAGTGGTGTGGTAAAGATTTACTGAGACACAAGGCATCTGGCACATGTCAGGCATTCAGTAAATAATAACTGTTTAAATTTGCTTTTTTCTTTTTACTTCTAATATTATAATAATGCCTTGTTATTAAGGAATTTTATCTAGAATTATTTTAGTTACTGACATACAAGGCTATATTTTTAACTTCAGTTCTGATTATAAACAACCTACATATAATTGTATTAAATTCATACATTTTGGGGCACCTGGGTGGCTCAGTTGGTTAAGCATCTGCCTTTGGCTCAGTTCATGATCCTGGGGTTTTGGGATTGAGCCTGCTCCTTCCTCTCCCTCTGCTCCTCCCCACCCCTCTGACACTCTCTCTCTCAAATAAATAAATAAAAATAAATTCATACATTATAAAAATACATAACATAGAGAAATTTTTCCAACATCCCATTTTCTGTATCATTGTAAGTTTATTATAAATTTCAACTTTCTAAATAGATTTCAACTTTTGTGTGCATGAACTAACCTATTACTTTTTAATAGGATCATTTAGTAATATATCCTGAGGTTTTGTTTATATTTACTTTTTTTTATTGTTTTTACTTAACCAATTATCCTGGATGTCTTTCTTTGTCAGTATATAAATTTATCTAATTCTTTTTACCAGCCACATAATATATTAGGGTGCAGCAGGGTAAGCACTCTTGTTAGTAGGTCATATCTTTAAAAAGCTAGCTGTTCTACATGAAGTTTGCATGTGAAAGAGAAATAAAGGAGATAAAATTTTTAAATTGAGATAGGACAAAAAAAGTTTATAAACAGTAGAAATGGGAGTTATGGTTGAAAATGAGTAATATTTATGAACAGCAAAACCCTTTGTCACTATAGAAAACCAGTAATGATGACTCAGAAAAGTTTTTTATTTTTTTTAGATAGGGGGAGGCATAGAGCCACTTAGATATATCAATATCCCCTATGTTATCAGTATATCAATATATATATGATAAAGTTCTAGTTCTAGTTCTGCCCTTTAATGGTATAGCCTTAGATCAGCTGTGTTCTCACATGGACCTGAGGAACATTTGAGGTAGTATACATAAAAGCACTTTGAAAACTGTAAAACTTTACACAAATGTGAATATTGTGATTTTAAAAAAAATACGTTAGACCTAGAATAGCTATTCAGTTATTATATAATTTCAGAACTCATCTTGAGAAGATTCAGTATCTTTACCCTTTTCACTTCACAGAATCAACCTAAGGACCAGAATTTATTTAAAATACGAATTAATGCTGTTAAAGAGATTTCAGTAAAAAAGTCACTGCATCATGATGCACTATATAGAACATTCTAAGTTCCATTTTAAGTAGTTGTTAATGCTCTTGTTTACCTGAAATGTTATTGAAAGAAACAATGAGGAGTGTCCAGCAAAACTAGGGCCTGGTGCGTATTAGCTCAAGGGTTGATCCTCCAATGCAGAAGAGGATGAGCAAACCTCCTCAAAAGTCCTGGCTTGATTCCTTGAAAGATACTGAGATACTTGTTTTTGACCCTCTGCTAACAAAGGGTATAAACTAAACATCTTTCTTCACATGTTTTATATTTTTCATAGTCTACAGAAATCTTCTGTTGTAACAGATAAAGTAACCATCATTATGTTGCTTTAGCATGGTGTTCTAAGAAATTCCTGCTTTCTCTGTGTTGTTACTTATAAGACATATATATATATATATATATATATATTTCTTTTTTTTTTTTCCATCTGTAGTTTTTGGATGAAGACTTGAAGGTAGCTGGGAAATACAAAGGAAATGATTATAGCCAGTATTCTCCCTGGTCATGCGACACCATCGGCTCCTACATTGGAACCAAAGATGCAAAACCCAAAGATGTGGTGGCAGCAGGGAGTGTGGAAATGATGGTATGTGTGATAACTAAGCCACAATGAATACAAATGAAGAGAAACCCCTGTTAATAGTGAAGACACAAATAACTGAGCTTTCCTTAAGAATTTCAGGCCAGGGGTGCCTGGGTGGCTCAGTCGTTAAGCGTCTGCCTTCGGTTCAGGTCATGATGTCAGGGTCCTGGGATC